TATCAATAGTTTGTCTTTATTGCTGAGTAGTATGCCATTGGCTGGATGTACTACAGTTTGTTTCTCCATTCACCCTCTGACTAACATTTGGGTTGCTTCTAGTTCCTAGCAATTATGAATAATGCTGCTGTAAATAATTATGTATAGATTTTTGTGTAAACATAAGTTTCCATTTGTGCTGGATATTCAGTAGTGGAATTTCTGGGTTATATAGTAAGTATGCATTTAACATTTTAAGAAACTGCCAAACTTTTCCATAGTGGCCACATCATTTTGCATTCTCACTAGCAGTGTATGCAAGTTCTTGTTGTTCCACATCCTTGCCAGCACTTGGTATTGTCAATTGTTTTTTGGTTTTATATTGTTAAAATTTTAGCTCTTCAAAATAAGTGTGTAGCTAGCATAATTCTTAAGCATGTTTGTCCATCAATCCCTTGAGACTTAGAAGAAGATACAGAATAGGGATACGTTGAATGCAGAACCAGGGAAGAGCCCCTAAGGAAGAGATGTACAGACCATTAGATCTGTGAGAGCTTAGCAATGTCTGTCATATTTACTGTTGTACCTCCAAATTACTAGCACAGTGTCTGGCACACAGTAGGGATATCTTTGTATGTTTATTGAATCATTGAAAATGAACAAATGATTGAAAGGTTAAGGAAGGAATAGGTGTAGGATAGGAAAGTAATTTCAGATTGATTTTGGTCTGAACAATCCCAGTATATTGATGTGACACATCCCTTTATATCTGTTTAAGTCTTTGTTTAAATATTAATATGTGTTTAAGGGCTGATTCCCAACACCTTAGCAGGAGGGAGATAACATGATAGAAGAAGCAGTATACAGAAAAGATATGATGCTACTAACTTGGATGCCCTTAGGAATTCAAGTTAACTTTCCTGGCCCTCAGCTTCATTACTGTAAAGTGAAAAGATTTTATTAAATGATAGCTAAGCTACTTTAACTATAGTTTGTTTTTCTTTCCATCACATCAAATCAGAAACTGGTGAGGAAGAAGCATGCCAGAGCCTTTGATGGGGAAGCAGTTATATATGGATGTAATCTGAAGTGTAGCTCTGTGGAGGATTTAGGGATGAGTTTCTAAATGGCTAATTGGCGGAAAAAATAGTAGATAGAAAAAGGTAGTTACAAGGTTTTCAAATAGAGTAGCAGCATTGCCAGATTGGGGAGGCAGGAATAAAAGGAAGTAGAGGTTGAGAACCACTGAATTTAGAAGTTTGTAAGTTTTTTCTTTTTTTTCCCCTGTTAAGGAAAGCTTTAAGTTAAAGACTGGGGAGAAGCTGTCTATAGTGTCTTTTAATGCAAAGAGGAGGGCCTGAGCCTCAGAGAAAGAAAAGTTGAGGATGTGTGGGCAGCCCTCTGTGAGCTCTGGGGATTGTTTGGCTTTCTGCTTTCCAGTGGTCTTTCCACGTTGCTCTCTCACCCCACTTCTTAGAAGTTCAGATATAGAATTTAGCAAAAGGCCAATTCTTAGTATATATTTATTCTGTTTGTACTTTGAAGGGGGTTTTGTACACAAAGTCAAGTATTGGTAAAGATTTAAAAATATACTTAGTCAAGTATTGGCAGAGATTTAAAAATGTACTCAGTACCCAGATAAACTTGATTCTGTGGTTGGTAAGGGATTTGACTTGTTTTGTTGTTTGACATTTTTAAAATGCATCATGACATTTGAAATTTTATTTCG